TGAGAAGAGTTTGTTTGATGAACATAGCTGCACCATTGTTTGGGGCATATATATTTATCATTGTTATTATTAACTTAAGTTAATAAATTTATAATTAAACTTTTGAAACTCTTCAAGAAAAAATTTTGATATGACTGAGAAAAAGAGAAATTTTAATTTTAATGATATTGTTTTATGGTTAACCACTGATTTCTTTGCAGAAGGCTTCCAGAAAAGAATTGGAGCATAAACATATGTATGTTGAATGAAAAAGAAAATATGAACCTAGAATACTTTATCCACCAATACCATTTTTTAAACTTTAAGAAAAATACAGGCTTTAGATATATGCTTATTTAAAAATGACTTTACTTCTTGACCTGCTGTAAGAGAAGTAATCAATGGAATCTTTCCAATAAAATAAATCTGCACAACAGCAATGAGAAAAAATTTGAAAGCTTATGTGAAAAAAATACATATATATACATATACAAATATATATTTTATTTTACTTTCATTGTTGTACATAAAATATTTTATTCTACTATAGAATTTGGAAAACTAAAGCATAAAATTATCATAATTCTTTGTTAATCAGCATAAGTTAGAAAAGCAGGTGTGAAATCAATAATAAATCATGGCAATACATGTAAAGACACTGATTACCTTAGAAAACCAAACTTAATTCAGTTTGAAACATAGTGCAAACTAAGAAACTTTTAAAATTTCTTCTATAGTAATACATGACAGTAGAACATATCTTCATATACTATACATTCATAAGGTATAACTACCTAATTTTCTGGTGATAAATTTTGTGCAGTTACACTGGTTGTGTATTCACATAAGAACATAAGAATGTTATTTCCAACTTATTCTACTGTTTTTAAGTACATCTATGTAATTCCAAATAATGACAAAATAAACATCAAAGATAAAGAAATAGGAAAAAATGAAATATCACTATAAAAATTTATAAACTACAAATTAAGGCAGTTTTTTTAGTAGTAGAAAAAATACAATCATAGTGAATATATTTGTAACACAAACATATTTTTCATATATAGAAAGAAAACACACTCTAAAAATTAAACATCATAGAAAAAAAGCTATAGTAGGAAACATCAATTCTCAATTAATGCAAAGAAAAAAATAGCATTGCATTAGTACTCAGAGAATTAAAAAAAAACTTCAAAAAGCATTGAAAACTAATTAGGTTTACAGAGGCAATCTTCTCTATAGTGTATGGAATATTATTCCAAAGAGATCAGGTTAAAAGCACAAAACAAATGTTAAAGATATTAAAATATTGAAGTTGCTTTCTAACATAACACAATAAGTTCCAAAACAAAAATGATCTTCAAAATTTATGAATATGAGTTTAAAGCCAAATTCAGTGATTAAACAAGGCCCTAAGCAACTTAGATAGACACCGTCACAAAAAGAAATATAAAAACAGCTGCCAGCCAGGCATGGTAACACACATCTGTATTTCAAGCAACTTGGGAGTCTGACAGCAAGATTTTGAGTTCAAAGCTAGCCTCATCAAAAGAAAGGTGCTAAGCAAATCAAGGAGACCATATTTCTAAATAAAATAAAAAATGAGGCTTGAGATGTAGCTCAGTGACCAAGTGCCCCTGAGATCAATCCCCAGTACCCTTCCCAAAAAAGTATTGTTAATGTGGCTTAATTGTAAAGAACCTCTGCTAAAAAGAAAGAAAGAAAAAAAAAATCCTATAGCACCCCAAATAATCTAAGCAGTCCATGTAATACCAAATAATCAATATTACTTTTGTATAAAAAAATAAGTTATTTGAACAATTCTGTGGAATATCCTAGGTGCATCAATAACTACACATATTAAATTTTTTATAAACTCCTTCCTGATATAAAAATAATAAAAGCTACAATATTCAATATATTTTGAGGGTAATTGAGAAAGCCCCAAGTAAGAAAACTGAAAGTTCATCAATTAGCCCTCAACTTTATGGTAAAATTAAAATATATTTACAGATCTATTCTCATTAAAATAACATTCAATAGAGACCAATGTGGAAAGCCAATTGAATATCATTTCACATAATTACATGAAGGCAATTTGGAATGAACTATGAAAAGTTTTCAAACTTTTCAAAGATAAGAAATTATATAATATTTACAA